GATAGTTTAGAAGCCAAATCCTTGTTGCTAAAAGTGTTTAAGTCTTAAAAACATCTATAAGGAGATAGATAATTTATTTAAATATCAAAATATTCCTTGAGTTTTTTTTTTTTAATCCGTTGAGAATTCCTATAAGGTCTATTAAGTCTAGTGGGGGCTTTGCATCCACTGAGGATTACAATAAAAGTTTATTGACTTGTAAAAATATTTGTTCATTAAACTTAACTCATATTTAATCTTATAAATGTGTTTCTAGTAAAAATAAAAAAAGTCCCAATTTTGCTCATTTAGCCCTGTATTCATATACTCTTCAGAGGAAAATGTATTAATTAGGACTTAATTGGTGTTTACATATAATGTGCATACATTTTTCTTTTAGTACATACAATTATTTATAACATATATATATTGTAAATGACTCCAGCTTGTTTGACATTATCTTACTATTTCACAAATGATTCCTAGTAGTTCATATATTCATAGATGTAATATTTATCAGTTAATTTTGCATTTTAATTCCAGAGAGCCTGTGTTAAAATTGGATATTCCTGAAGAGTAGCAGAAGTGAAAAGAACTAACTTCTTCAGGCTTTTCATGAAATAAAATTTAGTTAGCTATTATTTATAGATATAGTGGTATATAAATGAATACAAATTCCATGACCAATGGATAATTTTTTTTAAAAAAAAAAGCACATTAGTGCTTTGATTCGTATCACAGAAGCCTCCTGTAAACATTAACATAAGTTGATATATACAACATATCAGTAACCATCAATTTAATATCATTGGTTCCTGAATACTGTAGCTGAAACTTAGCCAACACAGCCAAGCAGGAATGTGGTGTCTGATCTTCCCCCGAGTCAGGTACACACTATGTTTGATGTTTACTACGAAGTTCTTAACATTTTCGATTGAACATGACTGCCCTCCTTTAACTCCTCCAAAATACTGCTCCACAGTCATGACTTTGAATGTGTTTAAACCTCATAACTCTCGGAGTCTGGGTTGTTTGCAGCGGTTCTTGAAATCGTTTCATTTCTTACCCCTCTGCATACTTTTATTATCTCATTTTACCATTTTCTGCAGACAAATGAATCAGTGAGACTCTACTGTGATTTGCTACCCACGGATACAATTTCTGAGCTGTATTTTCCTCTAAAAAACCACTTCGTCCATCCAAAGCACTCTTTCAAATCTGAGAACTACTTTCTTGATTTTTACAATATGAACTCCATATCAACGTTTTTACAAACCATAAATTACTTTCAAGGTTAGAAGTTACAGAAAAAATACAGACATACATCCATATATAAAATGTAGTTTTCTTTTTCCTTTTTTACACTTAACTGATTTTAGTGGGTGATATATCTCCTCAGTGCTAATGTAATAGCAATGCCCAGAAAATGCTATCTATATTTGAAACAGTAATTATAAAATAAACACCTATGTATTGATCCCTCTGCTTATGAAATAAAACTCTAACCCTTTAAAGCTTGCTGTGAGCTCCTCTCCTATTTACTCACAAAAGGTAATGTTTTGCTATTTTTTTACAAGACATATTTTGTTCCTCAAAAGCTTTATTTAGATCTTAGAAGCAGAATTTATGGTGTGAACATAGGATTTAGATGTGTTTCTCTTTAAATTTGCTGCTAGAATATTGCACCTACATAGATGTATTAAGTTTAGACCCAACAAGAGTAAGGCGGAAAACCTAATGGTGGAGGTGTGGGAAACTGAAGAGGCATGCACATTTTCACTGGGGCTTTCATTAGCTTTATGTGCAAAGAGAACAACAATGAATTTTGGGGTATTCATTCTAGCTACTATGTTTCTATATCTTATATGTTAGGGGGCAGAGGATGAGGGATTATGACAGAAGGAGAGATTAAACTTCATCCTCTGGATTCTGACATAGCAGAGGCCAGTCATTGTAACAAAATGCTATAGGCTATCACGTTTACTCTTTATCATGGAAATATTCATTAGTCTGTGTGATAATTTCTCCATAATAACTTAGGAGATAATAATTATCTTCTAATTACTATCATGCAGCTGTTGTAAGAATTAAGTTAGGTAGAGTAGGGTAAAATAGTCAGCAGAGTGGCGCACAGTAAGATTTTAAGAAAGGGTAACTTATAATTTGTTATAGTTGACAGCTCTCCTTTGAAGCACTCATTTAAGAAAAACAAACAGTGGAATGGCATTAACCACAACGGGGCTCCTGTCCTCATTTTCCCTCCAATTTATGCTGTGAGGCATACTGCTAAGTTTTAGTTTTCTGTGACCTTAAATTTTAAGTCCTGTTTTTCTAGACTCTGTGATTTAATCTAAGAAAATCAACTTCATTTTCGAGGACATTATTTCTCAAACTGGATCCTTTCGGGGAGTCTGCCGAGTCGAAAACTATTTTCAAACTAATATGTCATTGTTACTTCCTCTCTCCATTCTCATACAAAGGTGCAGTGTAGTTTTCAACAGGCTACAAGAAGTGTGATGTTCCTTGTGTGATATCGCAACAATTCAATCAGAGGCAGACATAGGAATCTATAGACTTTTAAGCCAAAATCAAAAGGGTCAGCAAAATCTAAAACAATGGGACTCTCCTATTTTATTTTATTTTATTTTTTTGGTGGAAAAGAAGATGTAGCTTTTTAAAAATAATGTGCTATTTATGTCCATACCTGATAGGTTAATTATGGCTATTTTCAAAATGTTAATGAATGCATATTTTAAAATTATCTGTTTTTATCTGATAGCTGAATACTAGTGCACAAAAGTAATTTACACACACACACAAAACCTCTTTAAGTTCTTAATTGTATTTGAGAATATAAAGGGGTCCTGACTGTCAAAAAGTTTGATAATCATGTAACTTTCAGTTAAAATTCCTTATTAATACATTTTGTTGAAGGATAGTACAAACATTTTTGACATCGGTGAAAGATTCCGCCACTTCATTAACAGAAAAGATTGGAAATATGTGCAGGTTATATTTTGTTTTTTATCCCCTGGTGAAGACAGACGTGCACTTTGTCTTTCCCAGGTTGATGGCTAATCTAATGGAGCATAATGGCATTAGGAGGGGATCTATCATTTCTTTGTTCCTTGTGTCCTTTCTTTTTGCTTTCCTGTTTTGCTTTCTTTTGTTTTGTTTTTTTCCAACCACAGGGAGGACATAAGAAAGAATTACTTGCAGTCTCATGTGAAAGAAAGATTCCCCACAGGATTTTCTAATCAATACTGCACTTTTAACTACATAAAATTGACTGAGGAAGAAAAAAAATGGATGCCAGGTACATTCCTGACTCAATATGCTGAGAATGAGAGACTTTTCAAGAACAGGAGTGTACCATGTTAACATGATTATATATACTATTATTTATATGGCATATAATTTATATGAGCAATAAAATTTGGTAACTTTCTGATTATTGAAAGCACATTTAAGTCAGTTATAAAAGATAAATTGTGGTGATGATTTTCCTTTTTTAACTTAAATTGACTTTACGTTTATGTTATAGTACATGTCAAGTTATAATTCTACGATGTAATGACTAGCTAAGCAGTCAAATGTGCTTTGGTAAGTTTTGGTGTAATTCAAAATACTTTGTTGATATTTCCCATTTCACTTTCAAGTGACACTAAATTTATATATGTATATTTTTGAAATATAAAAGAAGTCCACCATTTTTAGCTACAGAATAATATAAGTAAGAATAGATGACTCACGTCGCCATTCTCACCTTGTATAACTCAGCAGAGATAGAATTTTGGTTCATGAATGTTCTTGTAGTCTGCGTTGGAGCTAAAAATGTCTTCACACACAGAGCAAAATCATAATATTGCTCATAAGTAAGGTTTTTATATTATGTTCAGCTGAAATAGGACTTGTTATTCTCTCATTCTCAC